GAAATTAAATCTGAATTTGGTTTTTATGCTTACCATAACATCAAGTTATATTAATCAAAGGGCCTTTGGTCTAGCAGTGTCATAACTTTTGGTTTCCTAGGAGGTCAGAGGTTCAAACTTCATCAAAAGTAAAGAGAGAGTGTGAGTTTATTTGTTGCATTTGTTGTATATAAATATCATAAAAACATCAAGATATACTTAATTAAACTCGTAATCATGTTTGTAGAACGATAACTTTTAACTCGTGACGAGTTTACTATATTATGTTAGATCTATTGCTCTTGTGATAGAAGTTGAGAGAGAAAAAAAAAAGATATAAAAAAACCAAAAAGAATATGAATGAGGGGAAATGTAATATCTCAAATGACCTTATCAGATATTGTCTGTTTTATCTACATATGGACTCATGGTTTTAAAACTCATCTGATAGCGAATGTATATGGTCTGTTGTAAGGTAACCTTAGTTCCCCTCCCAACTGATGTGGGATCTTACGATCTACCCCCTGAGATTCCAATGTCTTTGCTGGCACACCTGTTTGGTTCTCTACTCTGATATCATTTATAACATCCTAGGAAAATTATAAGATTCATATAGGTTGGGAAGGAACTCATGTTGCCTTATAAAGAGCTGATACCTCATCTATCAGACGCATTTTAAAACGTAAGGCTAGATATAGACAAAACAAACAATATATTGTACAGTTGATTATAATGTAAAGAAAAAAGAATAGGAAGAAAAAAATTATATGTATTTTTCAGTTAAATAAATAAGACATTAGTAATTTTACAGGTCGGCTAATTACATATTGATATTGTTAAATACACCCTTATCTCTGAGTTTCTTCATCACACAGATTATCAAGACTTACTTTTTATATTCTTAATACATGAATTGACTTGATTCTGACATAAAAATAAAATGCAAAAAGCGTTGGATTATTTTTATTTAGAAAGAAAGAAGAAAACAAGGGTATAATAATAAGGGAAATTAATTAAAATAGTCATTTTGACCGCATGGTTTCACTTATTAACCATTTATCTCCCAAAATAACGAAAATAACTATAGGTCAACAATTTGCAGAAGGGTCAAAAAAAAGAAAAAAAAAGAAAGTTTCTAACCAGGTCCGCAATTGCAAACACCAAATTTGTAAATTTGGAAAAACTTTTACAAATCTATAACCAGTTTATATATTTGGTTCTTGCAGATCTGGTTCAGAAATTTCTTATTTTACACTCTGACACCTCCATAAATTGCAGACCTGTCAATCACAAACCTATAGTCATTATTTTAGGAGAAAAATATTAAAAAATATAATCTACCATAAAAAAATACCTAGATTTGGGATCATTTGAGACCAAGGGTTTTTCGTGAGACCCGTAAGACCAATTCTCAACTCTTGGATTAGATCTATAATCTGAACATTCATAATCACAAAATTGTCACGAGACTTCTCAATAATCACAAAATTATCACCGTACAACTTTAGACCATTAAATCATTAGCTTATAAAGTTGATCAATGAACATAAATTGGTCTCACGAAAAATTTTGGTATCACGTGAACCCAACCCAAATACTTATTTTAGTTAACTTCCATAATTACAAAGGGTAGTTTGTGGGGAAAGGAAATGTCAAAATCGGTAGGATAAGACAGCTTCTTTTTGGTGATAAGAAGGGTAGTGTGGTCCATTTTATCTACTCCCAAGTTTTTTCTTTGCTTTTCCTTCGTGACTTCATGTTCATGTGGTGATTCGTGTACATTTACGGTGTCATATTTTTATTTATTATATATTTTTTTAATTAATTAGAGTATCTTTAACAACTATATTATTTTAAATTTTTTATTTTAATAATTATATTAAATTTTTTATAAAAAAATTAAATATAAAATATAACATACCTGTTGAATATGTTTTCATGATACTTTTTGTTGTTTCGTTTTGGTATAATCACAATTAATTTCATCAAATACATTTATAATTATTGCTACCAGATAATCAAGTAAATTTCATAATACAATTTCATTCACGGACAATAATTTCTTCTAGATTTACGGTCTTTTTTTTATTAACCTGAATATCCAACCCGCTATATGAGCTGACTAATCCCAGGGCGACCACCAGAGCCAGCCTTGGCCACGTGCAGCTCGTGCGGCCGCACATGGTATCAAAGCCAAAGGGGCATCAAGTTGTCATCTATTACTAGTTTTTGGTTTAATAATTTGGGAATTGGACAACTGAACTTTAACTATAAAAACAAGCCTAAGGCCTAGTAGTGATTAACACTGAATGCACATCGTGAACCGGTGATAGATAGACCATTAGCCTTTAGTCATTAAACCAGTAACTTTCGAGTTTTACTTTTTACTTACTATGACAGTAATTTTGATGTAATTTAATATTTTAGTTAAAAACTAATTATAAACTCTTTAAAAAATCGCATGTTTCGTTGTTTTATTGGCTTAAAAAAATAGGCTTAGGGGTATTTTTTATTATTTTCGCACAGGGCATCAAAAATCTTAGGACCAGCCCTGGCGACACCTACTTTGCAAATATCCCGGAGTCACCGCATGTGAACCTCCGTGGCAACAAGAGGATTTTTATTTATCCTTTGATTTGAAACTGAGAGTACCAGGTACTTTTGATCTTTGGAGCCAAACTCAAACCAATCAGACACTACCCTTGTAGTTTTTTTATATGTGACATTAATCGAAAATTAAGAAATATTTGCATAAACCCAAATGTTTTATTGTACAAGTTGTAACGCAATTATTACTAAATATATAAATTATTCTATGATTAATGATTTATATGGTATTAAAAAGTGAAAAAATACGTTTTTCTTTTTATGGAAATTGTGTTGGTTTATTCCTTTAAATAGTAAGTGGGTCAATCGTTGTCCATGGCTATCCTATACGTATATTGATTAAACTGTTTGGCCCCTACACATCATGTGCATCATAAATGACATGTTCCTTCTTTTCATTTTTCTCACCTTCTTCTCCTTACAACTTTACAAATTTCAAGGTTTATTGTTGTTTTGTAGTTGTTGAATGATTTGGTGTAGAATGATTAAGTTGTTAGAATGATTAAGAGACTCTTATGATATAATGTAAAATGAAATATGCTTGTTTGGTAATTATTCATGATGAAATTAGGGCGCTGAATGGTTCAAGGAGACCCAACATACAAAATCATTCAGAGGATTTTAAAACCATCAAAAGGTAGATTTTTTCTTGTCAAACAAGATTCACCTCTTAGCGGTTCAAAAGTTGTCTCTTAACGAAACTATTAAGAGGTAAACAAATAGCCTCTTAATAATTTAAACTCTAAAATTTATGAGATTCGTGAAAATTTTCACCATAAAGTGGTGAACCGAATACATGTGAAACAAAAGTTATTATGAAAGAAACATATTGTGAAACAAATATATGTTAGTCACTTATTAAATTTTAATCTTAGATGAAAAAAATCATATAAAATAACAGATAATGTATTAATTCTTAAAAATCTCACGAATTAAAGAATTCCCAAAAAAAAGTCGTCCATTCTTTATTTATATAGTACTTTTTATAATTAACATAATATGTATATAGATAAATCATTTACTACATCATGTTATCATCTGTATGAAACATGTCCTCATTTATGTAAAATAGACATTGCATTAGAAAAAGGTTTATAATATAGATATTATCGTTTAGTTAAATAAAATTTAAATAAAGCCACCAAAAGATATACCATACCTCCCACTTTTTTTTATTAATCTGGATATTTAACCTGCATAATGTTTTTGATTAACCTGGATATCCAACCCGCTATGCGAGCCGACTAATATCAAAACGACCACCCGCTTTACAATTGCAGGTAGTCCGGAGTCACGCATCTTAACCTCCATGGCCACAATAAATCTTTATTCCTTCTTGAAATTGAACCTGAGACCTCTAGACACTTTTGACCTCTTTGGAACCCAAGTTCAAACCAATCAAACACCATACTCGCAGTTTTCATCTTCCCACTTTGATGTAATCACAAAAATCCTATGACGGTTGAAATGGGATAACTATCATTTAGGACTGGATTATATTATTGATTATAAAATAGATAAATTTATTAATCTCTATTTTATTATAAGTAAAATTGTCATTTAATTAATTAAAAAATATAATAATTACACATTTCTAAAACCTTATTTTAAAATTAAAGTATCCAACTAAAATTGTGGTAATGGATGAACAATGATTATACATTTATAACAATGTCGTTACATAATATACTTTCTAAGTTTTTAACACACTTTTACACAAATAGATTAATAATAAAACAGGTAACATATGTTTGACGCCTTTATATGGGATTTTTGTGTCTTTTTGACTAATTGACTCGAATATACATTTGGGGCAAGATGGACATATTTGGTGAGGCATTAAACTGGGATGGGACAAGACTGAGTGTAATGAAAAAAAAATGGAAAATGAGATAAGATTGACGAATTATTAAATTGCTTATATCATATTAAAATCCTAAAACCCTCCGTAACTTTACACTCGTTTACCTCACCATTGCCTCGGGGGGTCCAACCCGAACTAAAGTAGCAATAGAAATGGTCAAGCATCAGTCATCATGCATGCGTTTGATACACAAACATGACCAAGACTGAATTGGACAAGAGTGTTGTAGGCAGATGAAAGAATTGGGAACGGCTTTAGGGTTTCAATTTGACATTATCAGCTCAGTCATTTATCAATCTTGTTTCATCTTCCTTATTTTTGTTCCACCTACTTTGATGAGACAGAAAATGTGCATTTTTGTCCCATTCAAGTTATGTCTTATCGTGTCCTGTGGCAGTCTATGTCATGCCAAACATGGTACAAGAAGTTTTGTATTGTTATGTCCCGCAAACCAAACACACCCCAAGTGAATTAGTAGATACCTGCAAACCCCGAATCAATGAATGGCTGACAAGAAGCGAAAATGCAACAAAGTCTGCATAATCATCTGGAACTTAAACTGAAATCATTATCATGAATGGTAAGCAAATAAATGCAGATCCGAGTAACGGAAACCACCATATCTGCTGAACACAATGTGTATCGACACTAAAGAAACTAGTACATTTTACAACACAGATGAACGGAAAGCTAAAGCAGTTGCAAGTCTCCTTCCTAGGTTTCTCACTTCTATTGGGGCATATTAATTAGATTAGAAATTTCACACAACAATATTACAAACATAAAAATAAAACATGATAAATAAATTACAGATACCTGCTATAGCCGTAAAATAGTTCGAAGGGTATCACAAAGGTTCTGAATGGTTTGTTGTTCTTGAGCTGCTTGTAGTTCCTGCAGTGGCATCTCTTCATAGCACCTGCCTCATCAACACAAAATTGGGAAATCAAGTATCAGAAACTCATAATCAGTATACTATTTGAATTCTAGACAGGCATTTGAATACCAAAAAGCATGCAAGTTCGTAGAACCAAAAAACTAGTTCAACTTTGGAGACACGGCCACAAGCATGTATTTAATACTACATGGGTTAGGCTTAAAATGGAACCCATATATTCCACTCGATTCAAATCTGTCTCGATTTGGAGTCTTATTTGGACTTCTGTACAAAGAACTACAGCTTTGCCGATAAATTTCTTGCAAGCAAATGGTTAACAATTAGGATGATAAATTTCTTGTCTGGTATTCCCTCCGTGGCTCCGTCCCAAAATAATTGTCCACAATAAAGAAGGCACGCGGTTTTAGAAATGTGTAATTATTACGTTTTTAATGAGCTAAATGACAATTTGACTGTTTATAATAGAAGGTGTAATAACTTTATCAATCTCATAAACATTGTGTTCTCGAATTTCTGAAGAAAAAAAAAAGCAAAAGGGGGGACAAAATGAAAAGGAAAGAAAGTTTTTTATTTGTGCTCTAGAAAGGGAAACCAGAGAGGGAAGGAATCGGAAGAAACAATTTTCCATGTCCTTGAACTGAAAAGCAAGGAAAAAAATGTCACTTTTTGCAAATACACCCCTCATATTTGTTTTGATGGTGTTAAATTGATGGGTAGTTTTGTAATTTTACTAAATTGTCCAAGGGTCGTCATTTCTCTCTTTCCTTTCTTCCCAAATTGGGAGGAAACATATGATTTATTTTCCCTCCTATTCCTTTCCTTTCCCTTCAAAATAGTTTCGAGAACTCGTGCTTATTTCGCTTTCCACTCCTTTCTCTCCCTTTCCTTCCTAAAAATGGTTTAAAGAAAGGAGGCACTTGCTTTTGAAAATGGACACTTATTTTGGGACAGAGGGAGTACATTTCGTCTAGTTTTCTTTGTATAACAAGAGTCGGTTTTCCTATGATATTTGCATCATCCAAACTTATAAGTGAACAATAAGATTCTAGTACGCTAACAACGACCTGAAAGTAGGCAAATTACTTAACTGCATATGGTGTCTTCAATTTGTTCTCTTCCTACTATTTACTGTGTTTGTAATTTTTGATCTTAACAGAGAAATACTTACATTTTATGATAAGATAACGCCTGTGCGAGATTCATCAATGTTGGACTTGATGTGAGTCTCTGGTATACACTTGGAGGAAGAGGCAGCTGCAGCACATTAAGGATTCAATAAGTAAATGCACAAACTAATATTTGGTATTTTTTTGCTTGAAGGTACAGAGAGTTGGAGGGAACCTCGTTTTGCCTTCGACCCTTCTTAGACTGTCCATCGCTCGTGAAAAGCTCTTGCAATGCTTCTACAGCTACACTTCCAACATTATCCACATGCTGACTTCCAAGCACATTCTCAGACAACAATGCAATCGGAGATATATCAGTTGCCCTCAAAAAAGGAATTGGCACTGTGTTTCCAGCGGCATATATAGACCACAACTACAATGGCAAATGAACAAATAAAGTAACAAAACTAGTTAGTTGACTAAATGAAAAGAGAATCTCAAATTGTACGTCTTACTAAGAGAGCACATTTTTGGCAACCATAACTTTCTACTATCATTGTACATAACAAAATTTAGCATTTTGGAAATAAATTCGTATAATTAAAATGACTTCACCATATATGAATTGTGACATTTTCCTTAGGGCAATGCTCATTAGGAATTGCAACATCTTTTTTGAAAGTTTTCTTTTGCCAAATTAACTAGTTGGCCAATGGCCCATGTCCACGGGCAGGGAGGTAATATGCAAGGTGTTCATGGGCATTTTAATTAACACTTCCCATTAATTTATGTAGAGATGAAACATAAAAACATTATGGTTCTTGTAGACAAGTAGAGTAAAACAGTCCATACTTTTTTACCTTAAATTTGCATCTACAACATGGACGCTATTTGCTAGGCTTATTCAACACATATTTGTTCATATGTACTGCAAAAATTACAATATTGAAAAGAACCTTGTCCAGTGCTTTGCGATTAACAGTGTCTTTCTTAGTTGTGCCACTGATGACAGCACGGCTGCTTCCAATGGCTTGAGCTGTGTGTTCAGTAGCCGGTGATTCAACAATACGAAATGTATCTGTGGATGCACCATCTTTCTTGGTCACCCTGAGAGGAATATTGGGTGATTATGTGCATGCTCAAATTACATATTTATCATACAGAATAATGAAAAAAGACAATCCAGGCCACTAATGGAAAAAACTTTGAAGAATGTTCTTACGAAATCCATGGATTTTTAGTGTGGATTGCAAGCATATTAGAAGAGTATTACTAAGATAAAATGGTGCCCTAACTATTAAATTCTGCATTGAAACCCCAACATTCTGATATCATGCATCGTCCTAATCCAGGCAAGATACAATAGGCTAGTTCTCCCTTTACAATAGAGAACATGCTTACATGCTTTTCCAAATATTCCTGATTTATCAAGTTTTATTTGACATGTAGCTCTTAACCTGTTTAGGATTGCTCAACAATTCAAACCTAAAATTGAAGCACCTTCAAGCAGAGGTTAGGTGTTTGTGTGTATAAAAAGTTGCTTCTCAGACCACAGTACAGCTCAAAAGCCAGAAAATCTAGAGCAGCACCATTGAGGCTTCTGCCCAGAACACGTTAGGAAATTGGGTTGACACGTAAATTTATTATCTTATCCTCAGTAATGTTCCATCAGTCTATAATCTTTACATAAAATAGAACTTAATTTTTATGAAAAACATCTTATATTAAGAAAGGTTCTTTCTATTTTCAATTTTTATTATTAAAATCACGTAGAAGTACTTTTAAGTAAATCAAGCATACCAGATATGACAATCCTAACTGTCAAACCGATAACATTTTGGTTGTCTTCATATCTAGATCACATTTAACACTAAAAACCAAATATACTTTAATACTGCTTTTAGGATGTCATTAGCAAACACTATCTGCTTTAGGACACATGCTTTAGAACACATAACCACATCTTTGTCAGCAATCCAAGACAGGAGCTTTATAGCATGGAAATTACCATGGAATAACTGAATCTTCTCCAGAATCAGCAGTTGACGACATTTGGCCACGTGCTGAAGAAGATGAGGGCTTGTTTGCTGTTGGAACAGGTGTTTTAGCAGCTGTCTTATCTATAGCCACTCCACCATGAATTATGACACTTCCAAAATCACCTGGTCACAAGAAGTCCACACAAGTAATTTGTAAACAAACCTTCAGAAATCTATAACTAATAAACACCAATGTGTGATACGATTTCACTCTCGTAGAAAGGAGGCCAACAGGCTTGTAACAGAGGATTTGATGCCCAAATAAAAAGTATTACCTTCATTATTAGTTCTTATCTGATTATATTAGTTCAAATGTAACTTAAACAAAGAAGGTAAGCATCCTATTCAAGATCACCATTGTCAGATATTTAATAATATGTAGATAGTCATAGGGCTGTAAACGAACCGAACGAACACGAACGGAGGCTTGTTCATGTTCGTTCGTTTAACTTAACCGAACAAACGAACGAACACGAACGGTAAACGAACGAAAATCTTTGTGTTCGTGTTCGTTCATTTAGAAATAAGGTGTGCTCGTGTTCGTTTATGTTCGTTCATTAACATGCTAAACGAACGTAAATGAACGAACATAAACGAACGGCCTAAACGAACGGGCTAAACGAACATAAATAAATATTACTTGAATTCAAAGTAAATAAATAAAAGATTGTATATTAAATTTAATATATAAACGAACATAAATGAACGTAAACGAACGATAAATGAACGAACGGTAAATGAACGAACGTTCACGAACATAAATGAACGAACATTCACGAACATAAATGAACGAACGAGACTCTTGTTCATGTTCGTTCGTTTAACTAAACGAACAMAAAAAATTGTTCATGTTCGTTCATTTATTAAATAAACGAACTTCCCGCCGAACGGTTCGCTGAACGTTCGGTTCGTTTACAGCCCTATAGATAGATATGTTGCTTACTAAAAACAAATTCGATGCATAATAACATCTTCAGTAGTATGCATGTTTTTTTTTGACAAGACATTAGAGTTACACACAACTCACCATGCGTAATTCATGGTTGAAGTTCTTTCTGACCAAATTCTTTTGTTATGAATGATACATACCAGAACCCTATGCATTTTGTACAATGAACTAATTTTGACCCTAAGAAAGCACTTATTTATGAATCAGGTCAGTTGTTCATAGTTGAGGTGCTTACCAACCATACTAAAGGGAGAAACTTTTGTACCATAACGCAATTTGGATGGTAAGAGATTCAATAATCACTGTAATCATTGGTCGAATTTGTGGGACTTGAGACATGGCAAACTCATAACAGTTGAACTCTTAGAGGTGGCAAAATGCGTATTTTTTTTTCTACAAGGGTTCAAAACAGGTCATGGATCAAATCAGTTAGACGCATAGGATGTCAGCAACCTTTTCCTTTTAAAATTTGACAGGAGCATATCTATATGACATATAACAAAGTAAAATATATTAACATTACAACAACCATATCAAAATATTAAATTATTATCCCTCGTTGAAATTAAAACAATTCCATGGTAATAATGACATCATATATCAGCAAGATATTTCTAATGGTAGAGAAAATTTGATGATTATATTAGAAACTTTAACTATATCATACATTTTAGGCTTAAAATTAAAAACCTTGGTGTGAACTTTGTGCTTAAGGAATTATTTGATTTGGGAAATCCAAAAGAAATTGTTGATTAGGATAGATTGTAAAAAATGTCCACTACTTGTTAAAATTGAACAACTCAAAATTTAAATATACATGATAAATGAGTAATGGGGTCAAATTATGAAGCACTTCACATAAGCCAAAAGAATCGTATTGCCTAATTGTGACCCACTGCTACCCATAGTTTTGTCCATCTAAACCGTGTTTATTATTGTACTATCTATTTAATGACCCATTTGACCCACAATTAACATTGTCTACACCCTTTAAAACCTATGGGCCCAGTAGGCCAGTTGTCACCAAATTGGTTTGCTTTTGCTACATCTAGCCTTTCTTCCTACTGACCATCATTAGGGCACTTTCTACTTCTCATTCATGAATAAACAAAAATGGGCTGATATTCAGTCTCGGCCAGGGGATGGGTGCCATACCTAGACAATATGATATGTATTGGCATGTAAGATAAGGTTGAACGTACTGCTCTTTTGAAGAGTATACTGGTGGACTATATTTCATGGTGGAGCATTGACAAACTATATTTCAGGCAAATGAGTGAAATTGCCAGTTATCCAATTTATTATTGGCTCAAAATGTTAAAGAATCACATCAATGCACATCTTGCATATGCACAAATGAGTCATATGCCATGGTCCATGTTTAAACAAACAATAGATGCTTATTTGTAGTTCCAGGTTGATGAAGAAATATTTTCTATTTTTGTAGCATATGCATTTTGCTATATAGGTTATTAACAACTATTTGGCAACATTTTAGAGCATTATTTGCTTTACTGGGCAGCTCTAGTACGAGAATATATCTACCACGTTTAGCAGTATACATGAAACTTAGAAAAACATTACAGCTTGGAGCATATTGATTTTAGCCCATAAGCAGGACCACTTATCCAAAGCATGTTCCCACCAGAAGTATAGCCAAGTATTTCTCCTAATCAATCTCTTAATTGTTTTAAAACCAAATCTTAAACTCTAGCAAGAAAAAATGACATAAATATGAGAAATATGGCATGAATACCTTCTCCAGCGTCTTCCAAACCATCAGCTTGTACTGAACCACCTACAACAGGTACTCCATTAGGCACTTGATGAGGCTTCGACGGAACAGTATCTCCGAAGTCTTCATTCATTTTTGCTCCCAGTGTCTGCATTGAATAACCAAAAAAGGTAAAGCATGGGAGGAGAGAGAGAGAGGGTGAAAGATGTAAATGAACATAAGGTACATAGAAAATAGCGTTGTATTTCCATACCCCATATCCAGGTACGGTCTCTGCAGCAACATTTTCTGCTTCCAATGCCATAGAAGCCCTATTTTGCTTTGCCCTCTCAAGCTTGGGTAACATTGCAGAAGCTCCACTTTTGCATTTTTCTATAAATTTATGCTGTTTCAAGTGAAGGGAACATAAACAAATAAGACATACAGTAATAATTATCAACTTGAGCTGTAAGCATATAGATTCAACTAATGCATTGTAGACCAGAGTACACATCCAGATGCCAGCACCTTATCGATATTATGCTCCAGTTCGAACATGTCAACCAAAAAAAAAATCCTACTTCTATAAACCCAAATGAATGACATAAAAATAAGAACAGTTTATATACATACTTTCAGAGGGAAAAAATATGATCAGGTAACTACTATTTACCATGCAAAGAACATGTGATAGATTTCAAAGAAGAAATTAGTGTACAATGAAAATAAAATATGATAAAAGGCATAAATCATAAACTGAGAGGGCGTTTGGTTCGCTGGAATAGAATGGACTTGGAATGGTCAAATCCTTTGACCAAATTCCATTCCGTCATTTGGTTAACTGAAAGGGTGGAATAGGATGTATCAAATGGATTTGAAATCCTTAAATCAAGGAATCCTCCGTTCCTTCCATAGTTCCATGTACACAATTCCATTGAGAATAAAAGACTATTTTACCCTACCACCTCCACCTCCACCCGCTACTGACCCCCAACCACCACCTACCACCGCATCCCACCATCACCACCACCGTCACACCAAAAAAACCATAAAAGGGTATTTGGTCGGTTATCATTTTTTCATTCCAATTCTGAAGTTACATTATGTGAACCAAACAGACATATTCCAATTCATCACTTTCCTGCCAACCAAACATGTGGTCAAATTCCTTCAGGTTCGATTCCAACTACCTTGACAGATTCCATTCCATCCAAAAGCATTTTCCCCTTGAGGCGTCTAAGCGTCGTCCAAAAGTAAATTAGAGAACAAGGAGCTCAGCATTTAAAAATCAATGTGAATAGCAAAACTAAATTGCTGAGAGGAAATCGATGTGCATGTAATTGACTGATATACTTTAGTTTTGAATAACAGTCAAAACAGATAACATGGAAAAGAGCATTTAAATTCAATTTCATTGGTGAAGAATTAAAATTTTGAGAGGAATGTAGTAGAGATGCTAGATCAACATTGCTTTATGATAGATGGTTGTTATTGAATTAAGAAGTAACATATTAGAAATACGTGTAGCAAGGCAATGGTATGGTTGTGAGCACTTAGTAGAATGGACACATAAAATGGAAAGAATGGAAACACAGAATATAGCACAAGGTTAAAGGTTGTTATAAATTAACATGAAATTTAAGATGTAAATAATATAACCTTTTGCTACACAAAATCAAATGGAGAATTGAAGATTCATGCAGCCATCAGCCCATAAAGTGAAGAGCTTGGTTTTAAAAGGTGCAATGTGGTCCGATGCCTTAAGGATCCCGGAAGCCGATGCGTGATGCTGATGTGCTCGCATCACGCACGTGATGCGCCCGGTATTCAAAAAATATTTATAAATTAATTCTACATATCAATTTCTACCTTAAAAATACTTACCTATCAAAATACTTCATTTATAACATAAAGTAGTTAAAAAAAGTGGCATTAGAATCTTAAAAAGTTCGTAAACCGGAATAACAGAAGTACAGAACACACAAGCTACTACCATGAAGAACACAATTACACAAGTAAATGTCTAATAGTCCCAATCCCTAAACTAATTGACCAACCAAGTGACCAACTAATACTCCCCAACATCAGCATCATCAAACCCCAACACAGGTTCATCTCCCTCATCATTATCAAATCTTCCAATATATGTTTCCACCTCAACTTCATCATCTTCATCCTGAAGAGCATGTTCTTCTACTTCTTTGTTGGTTGTCGAGTATCGAGCTGGTTGTCGACTGTCGAGTATCGCGTTTTATGTGATATGCGATAACAGTCGCTGTCGGCTACTTCTATAATCAAGGTCTCTCGTGCTACTTCTACTTCTTCACTGTCGGCTACTTCTATTAGGTCGATAACAGTCTGTCTCTAACATTCTACTTTACTTAAGAAGCCCAACTAAAAGCTGAAAAAAGAGCCCAAGAACGCAACATACATGATGCGCTGATGCATACGTGATGCACGCATCGAGTGATGCGTATGTGATGCGATCGCATCATGGAATCGCAACGCATCAGACCCTTTGATGCGTTTTCTTCAGCGCACAGCGCATAATGCGCGCATTTTTAAACCCAGGTGAAGAGATCAATTTTGTATTGTATCATTGAATGTAACAATCAAAAAGGTGGACCAGAAAAACAGTGTTACAACAATGAGAAACATAAAGCTACTTCAGCATACCTTTAGCAGCTCAGATGCAGTGGGACGAATGCGAGGGTCTTTCGTAAGGCATTTTGCAATGAAATCATGGAACACAAGAGACCTGGAACATCAATTATGTAAGCTAAAAAATGCAAATGAGCTTTAAATAGAGATCATTATCAGACTACCACTAATAACAACCATATTTCTTCTACAATTTTCAATGGGAATATGGCAAGTATGTGCAAGATAGTTTGGTTATGGGGGATCATGAGCAGATAGCCTTGAACATGAGAAAAAAATTTCCATGGTGCAAAACCGTTGCCAGAAAGCAAAGATTTGAAACCTAGATGGTGCATACGCCTGAAATCTTTAAAGAATACAAAACCCACCATTGTCGAAAAAGAGGTTATCATCAACTTCGATTCCACATGCCAACTTCCACACTTTTAAACATATATCACAGAGTATCTTTTTTTGAAGGATATATAATATATATGGCAAATACTCATGCACCCTCCTCGCCTTTGATGAGGTTTGAACCCTTGACCTCATGGAGGCTGGGCTCTACCAGTAACCCGGATAATGCTAGGCCAATGGCCCTTTGGTATATTATATAGTATCTTGACCATCAAACAAGACGCAAATATATGATATTCATCAAGAGACAAGGACAAACCATTTCTCCTTATCTTCAAGCATTGGAGCGGGTTCGATGGATATCATAAATAACACCTATTGCAGGTATTAAGCATGTTAATCCTCTGAAACTGAGTTGCTTAAAAACCACAATAACCAAATGAAAAGAACAGACAGAAATAGAAAGACACATGAGCACATGACAGAAAAAGTACAAGAAATAACATGACCAGTAATATAGTCACCTGTGTGCTCCAGAAATCAAATCAGTAATTCAGTATGTCATCAGTTGAAGAGGAAAACAGACCGAAATAATAGATAATATATTGAACTTCATATATCAACTTTCCATGCCTTCAAATGAATGGTTTTCCAACATCATTTTATTTTACTGAATCTTACTTGATTCTGATTAACTTAGTTTCTAATAACATTCTTAAGAAATACTCTGGAAGTAATGTGAGCGTGTAACGCTGGATATACTTTTCTGTTGCATCATTTGATATCACCATTTTTAAGGACTGTTGGCTAAAATGAAGACTTGAAAATCATGTTTCACGCTCATCTTTCAAAGCCGAATATCATGACGGCCTCCACAACCTAGACTTTTCAATTGTATGCACTAAACCCAAAAGTAAAGTAACAAGCATTTTCCGCCCGCAAAAGAAACTTCTCTGAATTTCCATAACTTCCTGTAAGTTATAAAATGGTAGGTTTGAAGAGAAAAGACAGAATAAAGTTCCAAACTAATTGTCAAAATGGTTGCCCTACTTAATTGAGAAATTTATTTCATAACTTTAAAAATAGTTGACTGAAAAATAAAACTAAAATGTTAACAGGATGAAGTCCAATATTCTCATGGGAACTGCCACATATGTGTTAATAAGATGAAATACAATAGACATGAAATACAATAGACATGGAACTTTATATATGTTCTATATAATAATAAATATGGCAACAGGATGAAGTCCAGTATTCTCATGGGAAGTGCCACATATGTGTTAATAAGATGAAATACAATAGCCATGGAACTTTAAAACATATGAGTTATAACCAAAAAAAAAAAAGATATGCCATTCAATGTAAGCAATGACAATATAAACTGGAGCAAATCTGGGACCATCAAACTTACCATCATTGCCTTTTATGAACATGGAAAGAAAGTTAATGCACTCTCTCTCTCTCTCTCTCTCTCTTAACAATCACACTTTCATGTTCCATAAAAGGAAAAAATGGTAAGGATGGTCTTTTACAGTCTCACAGAAGCCACAACGCATAAATACATGCACTAACCCTCATTGGATGCACATTTGATCTTGGAGGAAACCCCTGAAAGAAAATAATATTCTGACATGAGAAAGAATACTAGCATATTCACAACCAGCATGCACTGAGCAAGCTAAAAGAGAATACAGAAGTCATAGGACAAAGATTCAGTGAATATTGATTTTCTCTTCTTTCTTCTGATAAAAGTTCAATTACTCAAGCAACACCAAAAGATAGTAGTTACAGAAACAGGATAGAAAGAAAGCTATGTAAAAAAATCCCGATAAATACTACGATCCTGGAGGATGGCTCCACAACTAACACTATTTTTCTCAAACCTGGAGATCTGAATAACTCTCATCCCACTTTCTATCTTTTTAGTTAGATGATATTCACAATTTCAACAGATAAATAAGGTTCATCCCCGCTATTTACATTCAACGTAATAAGGGAGGAAAGATAAGTTTATTCAAAACTCACACTCACCACCAAAGACAAGCAGAAGATTCAGGGGCTGTTTGGTTCATGCTGGGGAATGAAAATGGAAATGAATTTTCATTCCCCCCAGTTTAATCTGGAATGAAAATTTGGGCTTTTGGGGGAATGAGCCCATTATATTATATAATACCAAATAGTTTCTTTTATTTTCATTCCCATTGATTACTACTAAATACCTCTAACCAAACACCCCCTCAGATATTAAGGCAGAAGGGCAGCAATCAGACTACCACACAGAACTCAGTCCTTTCCCAACATATGTACTCCAAAATTAAAGAAAGGAGTTTTATCTTCGAAACCCATTGGAAGGGATAGTGCACAAGAATGATAATTGGGAGAAAAATAATTGGTTATAACCATCACCACCCCTGGAATAGACACTACTATCTTGTCCAAAACAACTTCTTTCCAATTATATCAGGGACTGTCTCCACTTTTCCAATCATTTTGGGTACAACTTAAATTTTTTGGATTTTCTGCATTTACATCAAGTACCTCCCTCTATTCCAACAGAACAAAGTAGATGACAGTTGCATTCCGGTCTGTTCATGATTCCCGAACCTATATTTCCTATCAATGCAACCAAACAGCACTCAGTACGCATGTATCAGGGATCTACTGTATGCACTTTTAATTAAGCCTCATAATGCCATTATTTTGCACTTGATCCCACCCTGGTCTCAGTAAGACCATTACAACTGCATTTCTATATTTCCCACAATCCAATCCTGGACCATGTATCTTTGCCACTTAGTGGACTAATACCAGCTATCTGTTACACACCTTAAGAGCGAATAAGACTTAGAACCTCACTAATGTTGACAAGGAAGCTCACTGCATATCAGATTTGTGATCCAAGTATCACCATCATTACAGGACTATGAAAAATAGAACGGTTCACGCCTAATTTTTAATCAGGTCACAACCAAAGTACAGAATTCAGCTAGTACATAATAGCCCAAATCTTGTAACAGGATCCAGATCAAGATATAAGTTGTCATAATGGATAAAGCTCCAACAGAAGTATTCATATACAAAGTCATATCTTCTATTACATAAAGTTGTTGATAACGCCGCAATGATAGGACTGAACGAGTGAGGTTTCTGTTCCAATAAGGTTTTATGCCATACCTTCTCCATTTGTAAACACAATTTCTGAAAACCCAAAAACTACTTCCAAATTTGTGATCTGTCCTATAGCCATCATGTATCAATCAGTCCTGTAGATATACAGGGAAAAGCTACTCATACCATGAGCATACCCTTAAAAAATATGATCACACACAACCTTTTAAATATCTCAGGTTCATCAGTCACCACCTCGTCGATGAAAAATATAATTCACCAAAACTTGTAGGTAGTTTCACCACAAGGAACTTCTAGCTTGGTTTTGAAACATTGTATACAAGATTTTAGTCTCTAGATGCAAGAGATTTCAAGAAAGAATAAACCAGTTGCATTGCTTGAAGTTCTATGAACAAGATCGAAAAAAATACCTCAGCCATTTCAATTGCAGACACCCCAAGGGCCCACACATCTACCTGGAAAAAGAAAGTAGATTATATAAAACAGTTGGTTCGACATAGAATGTTCTTCACAGCAGAAAAAAGAACCACCAACTTATAGACTTTAAGTAAGAACACCAACTCATATAAATGTCATTACTGTGTTTATAAAAGATATGAAGTTATACTTGCCACAAAACGAGTGCTCTGCCACTTAAGAAGTAAAATATACTTGCAACTTAAAAACTATAAACCAAACCACACAAACCCAGTAAGTCCTACCCAGAGGTCGGTCTGGGAGGGACGGGATGTAGGCAGACCTGACCTCTATCTTGAGAGTAGAGCAGTTGTTTCTGTGAAGACCCCTGGCTTGTGCAAAGTGTGTGAAATGAAACGGTCCAGCATTTAAAAAATAAAATACAAAAAAGTTCTTCGGAAAAAGATCTATAATAATTCTATTTAACAGTTGAATAGAACCATGAAAAGTAATATTAAAATGTATAAGCGCTTCAAATAAAAAATACAGTTTTCAGTTTTAGAAATGTAAACAGATCAAAGAGAACACATATGAAAGAGGAAGTAACACCAGAAATGTTCAATCTTATGCAGTAACCAAACATGCAAATATCACAACGTTTCTTACTTTCTCATGATAACTTTCCTATGATATAGAGTAGTGATATGAGAAGAAAGATCTCAAAAAACCAGATATAGGTATCCATAAACTGTCCATTTACCTTCCCATCATATCGACTCTCCTGGATAACCTCAGGAGCCATCCAGTGGGGAGTACCAATAAACTGAAAATGAAAGATGGCAATAAATTAGTTCCAAAAAACACGAACTAATACAGCATTCAAGCTTCAAGAAGAGGGTCTGAACTAAAGAAAGATCATCAAGTATGTGGAATAAGAATTAGTGGCTCATCAGAAACAATAAGATGACTGAAGGACTTTATTTAACTTTAAAAAAGCAATTTCTGTTGTTCCCTTTTTAATAATATCGGGTCGGGTTCTTCTCCTACCCATATCAAATAGAACACGCTTAGCCAAATCTTCTTCATGTAAAACCTGCTTGATTTAACATTCTGCTTTCATTCAAAGGCTCTTGGGTTTGAATAGTACTCATATGTGTGATTATCACTGAAAAGATTGCACAATAGCAGGATCATTCATCCATGCTACACAACCATCAAGCATAGCAAAAATGATGGGTCATTCTCTCACAGCACAGGCTTCAAATGAGTTGGTAAAAATCCAAGTTCCTGAAAGATCTTGGTTTCAACACATCCCACCAACCATTCACTTCTATTTGCTGGTGAAATTTGCTTCATAAAAACTCTATGCGTTTGAAGCACCTCAGTTAGCTCTTTAAATTAGAGTGGGTAACGCATGCCCGGGTTGTGTTAAAAAGAAGTTGGTCGTTTTGATAAAGCAAATGATTTACATAATTATTGCTTTTAAACAAGTCGGTCCCTAACATAAATATGAACAACCGCACCACGGAACTCAGTGAGTGAAATAATATAGTCACCCAAAGTAATGGAATAAAAGACCCAGGCAACAACACGAAGCAACCCATCTGTTAGACCTGAACGATTCAGCACGGCATGCATTAACTAACTGACTATCACAAAGTGCAATGATATTGACTAAATTTGCTTCTCTGCATCTTCCCTGCAATCACCCTCTTTCTCATCTTTGACACCATGCGACAACTAATTCTCTATGTTAACTGTAATCCACTCAATTATTTCATGTATACAATAAAAATGATGAAATTCATTCATCATAAATAATGTGCTTCTCTGCATCTTTCCAGCAACCACCTCTCTTTCTTATCCTAGACAGCCTAAGTTTGAGATTTTATAGAAAGCAAACATGGTATAGTTATACCTTTCTCCATTTGAGGACATTTAAGGGAGGATCAGATTTAGTTTGAAGTTAGTGGCAGCCAAAATTCTCCCTTTTCCGGCCAAAATCTCTCGTCTTGTTGTTCTCTGGCAGATCTCACATCCCCTATGTTATTACTCAGTCGTATTGGCTTCCAATGACCACCCCCACCAGGCATTAAAAAAAAAAAAAAAGGTGATATTGAAAATGAAAATAATATATGAAAAAACCAGGAACGAAGGATATTTACAGCTCAGCAACCCAGGCCTACACCTATCAAGGACCAGCGGTTAGCTTGCAGCTCCAAGACCTTTGGCAGAACCAGATACAAAATACCACCTACAGAGTGACTTTTGGGACATTGATGTATACATGCATTTGTAAATGTCCTTGACAAGTCTCAGAGATATTTATTACACAGAATAGTAAATTTAAAAAAAAGGCACTAAAACATAACCCACAAAAATTAAATAATTTAGCAAGCGAATAGAAAAGCTATCACTTCCTTTGTAAAGGTTTGCGTTCCTGAACGAACCTTATAAACCTGAAAACCACTTAAGAGGGTAATCTTTTCATAGCTGACAAAAGATAAATGTTAATACTGCTGTCTATAGAAGTCAATTCACATAACCATCATCAAAAGATCAAGACTATATAGGACTAGTTTAACTACCAGGCATGACATTTTGAAAAGGCTGAACAGACGAAATAACCAGAATATAGCAAGCTCAGTAAAAGCTTTACCGTGTTACGTTTGGACATTGTCCTTGTCAGCTGTGCAGCAACACCAAAATCACCTGTTGTAAAAACATGCATTTTGTAATCAGTGTAAAAACTAACTGCAGATTCAAATGTTGAAATGGTCAAGACAAGATATTAAATACACTTTCAGGTCTATAAATCTTATACATGTTAGATCATCCAGTAAAAGAAAAAAAGAAACCAGTCAATTTGAAGTAATTTACAGAACATGTGTGAGAATTATTTTATTTGAACTTACCCAACTTGACCTCTCCTTGTTCAGTCAACAAGATATTACCGCCCTTAATATCACGATGCACTTTGAAGATTGAATGCAAATAGGACAAACCCTACACGAATTGCAACAGAGATTAGGAGAGTAAGCAAGTCAATCTTAAAACCAAATAGCTGGAGTCAACATAGGCAACTAAAAATGGCCCACTACAGTGATTTTGTTAGAGCTTCTAGATTTGTTCTTTTTTCTTTTATGTGACCAACTTATTCAAAAAATAGAAAGCATATAAAGAAATGCTCAGGGCCAGCATAATTATATGACAAAAAGATATCCTCATATTGGTACAGCAGAACTGATTTTTACTTTCGCTCAAGGTAGAGTGATAGAATGTCCCTAGTGAATGCAAGGATGAAGAACAATCAGATCTAAGAGTACCTTTAATGCTTCCTTACATATATATGCAATTTGGTACTCCTCTAAAGGCTCATCAGTAACATTCATCAAATCAGCAACACTTCCTCCACCACAATACTCCATTACAATCTGCGTCAAGAAAGAAAGAAATAAAAAGACAGAGCACAAAACTGTTTTCCACATAAAAAAAATATATGAAAAGGACTTGGTTTTAATAGATAAAAACATGAAATAGGTTGTACACAATCAATGCCATATGAATAAATTAAATGTGGGATGAATACTTTATCTTTTTATAGATAAATAAATTACAGAAACGATACAACCATTGTGGTGAAAATATAAGTAAATGTGGGAGTAGCATCCATACCCAGAGGTATTCCTCACCCTGGTAACTTCCTAGGTATCGAACAACATTAGGATGACTGCATTGCTGCAACATCTCTATTTCACCACGAATTTCTTCATACCCTTCCTCCTGATATATATATATATAAAATAGCAAAAAAAACTTTGAGAAGCCAATCACCCAATCAAACTCGAGACAGACCAACGTGAAACTATAGCATACCCCTTCAGATAATGATATCACTTTGATTGCAACCATTTCCGAAGTTTTCAAATCGCGAGCTTTGTAAACAGACCCATAAGAACCTTTTCCTGTCATTAACGAAAAGACAGTTTTCAGTAACTTTGTCCTGCACATATAGAACAGATACAAGACCACTGAAAGACTATTTGCCAGGCCTTGTCATATCTAAAGAACCATTAAGTAAAGCAAATTGATGATGACTGCAAGATTATGGTAAATAGTAGGTTCATCATGATTTTATTTAGCTTTAATGTAGCTATGTCAAGATTATTATCGTAACAATATCCTATTTATTGTCACGATATCTACTGATCTTTTTATGGTTATTATTAGGATGATTTTTATGATAATTTTCCAGTGACTGTTAAGTGCTTAAATTTATCATTAATTCTTAGCATCTTTAGGATAAGCATTGTTATGTTAAGATCTATCTTTGTTGTTAATCATCTTATATATAGGGATGTAACTCATAGTAGTCTGCATGATAATTTACGTCAACTGAGACTCCTGGAACATATGGAGGCTTGGGATGTCATGTCTTTCTTGAGCTTTGACATCTAAGGTAATTTGCAAATCCATGCACTTGTTATATACAAGTCTTGATTGTATATTCAATGGTGTTAAGTGTTAACTACTTGCACAACAGTGCACTGTAAGTTAATAACAGTTGCATGGCAAAGGGAAAAAAGTTACCAGAATGACTCTGAACCATATTACTGGAGCACAGATTTTGTGCAAAAAACGAGGCCTGTAAGGTGATAGCTCACAAGTAAAACAGCTCAGCCAAACAATTGAAGGTTGAAAGCTCCTACATAATAACCAAAGTCTGAATGCAGAATGCTTTAAAAACCTATTAACACTAATACAATCTTAAAGTTGAGTATTGTATGTCTCAGGACAATTGAGGGGTCTCATTTCAACTGTTGTTCGAATTCTTGGTTGTATATATGTTGTACATGGGAAAGTTCAAAAGGATTCATGTAAAAACTATAAAGTAGGGTCCTTGGAAGTCAGGGTCAATTGAGAGTTTTTGAACAGAAAGATGGTGGGAAGAGACCATCAAAGAGGCATATATGGCAACGTAGCCCTGGACAAAAGCCAGTTTAAGAATCTCTATATCCTCCTGGTTTCTTGTGTGAGACCAGAGCTGCTCAAACTTTCCAACTGTTCTGCTGCTTGGCATGTTATCGGAATTAGAGAATCGTACTGCCCTCCTCTTGTCACTTAGTTCTGTGAGATGCAGTCTGTGAGCTGCAATATGTAACCTGAATCCATAATGAGGTTCATAGCTTTGTTTAACAAACTTTGTTATCCTCTCTTTTTAGGAGTTGGATTTCTCGTGGAGAACATTAAATGTCAGTAATTGAATTACAAAAAACATAAATCACACATCAGTGTACGTATCATACATATGATTGTAAAATAAAAGTTACCAAAAGAAACATAAATATTGTACCAAGTTCATGAAGCAATTCGTACTTGGTAGATGGATCTTCTCTCGTAATACTATCTGCAATAGAACCGGAAGACATTTTGCTTGTCTGCCGCCGTGAATACCCTCCTTCTTCATCCTGTGAAGATGACGTCGGCGTACCACTCCCTTTCCTTGGCTTCCCAAATCCTTCTCCTACCGCATGCATACTAGCCACCGCTCTACTCATCGTTGACATTCCGCCACTAGTCCGCCGCACCACTGTCCCCGATATTGATTCACTCTCTCTTTCCTCCGATCTCACCACAAAAGTCCCAAAGCCGCCGCCGTCTTCATCATCGTCTTCTTCTTCATCGGATTCCTCTCTCCTATACGAAGCTTGCACGCGACTACGACCAGTTTTTACAATCATCGTGCCGGAGATGCTTTCTCCATCGTCGTCGGAATCAACAGCGGCTCCGAAGTCTTTTGGCAGTCGCTTGAGGAGAGGAGGTAGTGATTCGTCGTCATTTGGATCATCATCTTCTTTACATAGCATTGTAGCGTATATGTCCCCTGAATCTACCTTTTTAGGGTTTTTCTGCTTTTGTGCTTCATCATCTTCCTCATCGTTATGTACTACAAACGTTGAGTAGAGCTCTGATTTTGTCGGCTTTTTGCTCGTCCGGCGAGCCGCCGGAGAAAAATCCATCTCTCCGGGCGTGTGTATGTGTGTGTCTCTCTCTCTCTCTCGGTGTCTGTGTCGGATTCCGACTTTAACAGCCACGGTCAATATGAAAACATATCAATATTTCCACTTTACCCCCTTCAACTTTTTATCATTTTGTTCTCACCGTCCTATAAGTTAAATCTATCGATTTTATTACCCTAAACATTTTCAATTATTACATTCAAGTCCTATAAAGAATATGAAAACCAAAAGTACTAAGAATCTTACCCAGTAAGAGTAAAGGCAATAATCAAGAGTTTTATCCAATAATTGCGGATGACGACTCTTACCATGGTTAGCGCTTATCAGGATAAATTGTTGCATACGATGCGTTTTAGTGAATGAAATTTTACCCGGTAAGTAAGCAATAGTGTTGAATTTTACCGATAAGTGTTTATCGAGTAAGTGTTTAGGTAAACGGCCCCGTAGAGTGACTTATTTATTAACCTTTTCACTATCACCACAAAAATTAACTTTTTTATATCAAAGATACATATGTGAACAGTTATATAATGTAACTGAAATATCTAAACTCAACAATTAATTAAATTACAAACGGCAAACATAATTTGTATGAAATACGAGTTAGCGTTTTTGGGCATTACATTGTTGTTATTCTATGTATTTGTGTGGTTTTGAGAGAGAGATAGGTTATTATGTTTTTTTAATCAATTTTATATAATATTTTATTATATTAATAGAGTTCAACACGTATCTTTTATTTTATAAAGTCAAACGTAATAATAAGTTGTTTTTAAAAATGAAATGATTTCATGAATTTGAAATTTCATAAACATAGGATTTTGAATTCTCAGGGGAACGATTGGTATTTCATGGGTTTTCGTATAATTTATATATGATAATGTTTTAAAATATGTTAAAAACATTTGTTTTATAAAAATCAATTAATAAAAAAGTTAATTTAATTATTTATATAATTTATTTTTTATCAATAATGAGATTCAATTCCATTCGAAATCCTTACAAACAAAATACAACAAATAGTCTAAATTCTTCGAATTCCAAATACTTTCACAAAATTCAAATATCTCAAAATCATTCCTTAAACAGCTCTTTCAAGACGTGGAATCTAAAAACTTCATAATATAAATTAGTATACATAATTCGAAATTAACTTATTAAATTGAAATATAATTATAAATTGTTAATTTCATAGTAAAAGAATTATAAATTTATTAGAATGATATTCGTGCAATGCGGCGAGATGTATCTCGATTTTTAATGTTTCGTTTTATTATTTGTATTTGTCGATGTTATAATACGATTTTATGTGGTTTGAGAAATCGATAATGTTTTTATTTTTGAATAAAATATAAATTTGAAGATGTCATAAAATTTTGAAAAAATATAGATAAGTTATACTTTTTATTATAATTTAATTTAGATTTAATAACGAAATAATTATTGTTGGTTTAATAATATAACTTTTTAAAAAGATAATAATTACATATTTTGTTAAAACTCAATGATTATCCTAATTATATTTCACTTTTTTTTATTAAAATAAGAAGTTTATATTGTATTTGATTATATTTATTTGCAGTTAGTTACACGAATTTAAACATGAAAATCTAATAGGTCATACTTATATACAATTTACTTGTAATATTGAATTTTAACTAATATACATCAATAAACGGTACATCATACATAAAAAATGATTTTTAAGAGTTTTTTATCAAATGCTTTATAGGTAAAAAAGAAATGTGTGAAAAATAGTATATGTAAATTTTAAGTTACAAAGATAAACAACAAGCCTCCGTAGCATAGTGGTAGTGCGTTCGCTTCGTAAGCGAAAGGTCGCGAGTTCGATCCTCGCCGGGGGCTACGTATATAATTTTTTCTTCTAACCCTTATAGTTTTTCCAAATAATGAAAATGGCCACCATCTTTCAAAATGTTTATCTGAATCCCCAAAGTTTATGTAAATGATCAAAATACCCCCTTTTGAAATTGTTCATGCATACTCTCTTATTTAGGTCTTATATTTATATTTATTTTAATATAATCAGGGTGGTAATGTTATTATTTAACAATAAAATAGAACACCTTCATCAATTTCATTTTAAACTATGGGTTTTTGTGTTCCGATTTGAACAGTTGGATCCGTCAAACCATAAACGGTTTATGATATTTTTTTTTAAATCAAACTGTTTGGTAGCAATTGATTAAACCGGTCAAACTAGACCATTTTTTATAGACTTTCAAATAAAAATAATAATATATGTTTCCAAAATGAAAATTATACTAGTAACATTGCTAAAAAAATACTGTATTGAATTTTAAAAGAAAATCGAACTCCAAAATAAAAATAAAAACATTGAGTAAGTTGAAAAAAAATTAAACAGATAAGTCAACAATGAGCATAATTTTGGACAAATATTGAGCAATAAGTCGAAGAATGATTTGGAATTATGGATTTTCTGGATTTTGGAATTTTACTGATTTAGTAAGCCCAGATAATTGAAAAATGAGAGCAAAAACTTAACGTTTTGAACGAACTCTTTTGATGTCGAAACTGGACCGATTGCATCTTTAAACCGCCAAAAAAGATATATTTTAAACGCTTTAATTGGGAGGGGGAATGTTTACGAAAAACTTGGTTTTTTGCATAAAACCTCCCCTTACAAAATTACTGATGAGCTGTTTGACAGTTGCTGAATGGTTTGATGTAGAATGATTAAGTGGTCAGAATAATTAAGAGTCTCTCATGATATAATGTAAAATGAAATATAATTGTTTGGTAATTATTTATAATGAAATTAGAGCGTTGAATGGTTAAGGAAGGTCCAGAATACAAAATCATTCAGAGGGTTTTAGAACCATTAAAAGACATACTTTTTTTTGCCAAACAAGATTCACCCCTTAACGATTCAAAGACTTTCTCTTAATAGAACTATTAAGAAGTAAACAAACAACCTCTAAATAAACCATTTATCATATCATCAAGTCACTATAAAATAATCACATATAGTTAATCGAATAAGATATGAGTCTCATTAAACTGCTAACAAATATACACATAATATTTTTATTTTACGATGGAAAAAGTAATTTATGAATTCATTTGGTTTGATTTATAACTCATCATCCATCCATTTTAATATAACAAAAATGAAATCGCTCAAATGAATAAATAATTATGTAAACATTAATTCATATATGCATTAGAAAAACAATAAATCCAAAAGGGAAGAAAAAAAAAGTCAAGGGTCAAAAGCAGTTTGAATTTGCCTCAATATCCTTGCAACTTGCCTCATTTTAGGCCTCCCGCCGCTGGCCTCCTCCGTGCAAACCAGCCCCAATTGCAGCAACTCCAGCAGCACATTTTCCGGTCCGGCCTCCCACATTCCGGGGGCGAAAACCTCCACCATCCGGCCTTCCCGCCACAGCCGCCACGCCCACGACACAATCGTGTAACCATTTTCTTGAGAAGAAAACGACGGATCCAATGCCCGTTTATCGGAAATCAACTCGAGCAACATCACTCCGTAGCTGTACACATCCACCTTATCGGATGCGCGGCATGTTAGAGCGTATTCCGGCGCCACGTAACCGAAAGTTCCGGCGACCCCGGTTGTCACGTGGGTCTCGAACCCCTCGAGAAGCCGTGACAACCCGAAATCCGACAGATAAGGTTTTAGATCCTTATCTAATAAAATATTGCTCGGTTTCACGTCTCGGTGGAGTATTCGGGGATTACACTCGTCGTGCAGGAATGCTAGCGCGGTGGCTACGTCGAACACGATTTTGTGAACGGTTTTCAAACCGATAACAGAGTTTCGTTTTTGGCAGATAAATTCTTCCAAGCTGCCGCCAGGAAGATAGTTGTAAACAAGAAACATTTCCGACATGCTAGCGTAATAGCCGATTAAAGTTATGAGGTTTGGGTGTCGGATTTGTCCCAGGCTCCGGATTTCCGCGTTAAATTGAGGGACTCCTTGACACATTTCCACAGTGAGCCGCTTCACGGCCACGGTTATCCCCGGGGATATCTCGGCTCGGTAGGTTGATCCGAACCCGCCGTTCCCAATGCAATATCTCGAGGTGAAATTTCCGGTGGCTTGGACGACGTTGTCGAACGTCAACGGCGCCCCGACCTCTTTGAAAATGACGAGGCGTTCGGTTCCCGAACGAGGTGGAGACGGGATTCCTTCGACTTGGGAACTTCGTCTCCGATTCCGCATGTAAAAGTAAGCGATGATGAGAACGATAAGAATTAGAACAATGAGTGATGCAACTAGAATTAACACCAATTCAAGGAGAGTGAAACCCTTTTTCTTCCCATCAACAGTCCCCGAGTCGGCAAGGGCGCGACGGTGTTGTGACGACAATGACTGTAAATTAACGACCGATTCCACCATTATCTGCTCGGAAACGTTGTTGGATGAGAAATCAAACTTAACAAGCGATTTCGAATTGACGAGGCTTACAGGAATATTGCCAACAAACCTGTTTCTAGAGATATCAAGAACTGCAAGATTTTCGAGCATGCTGAGCTCAGAAGGAACACCCCCACTAAACGCATTCGAAAACAGCAATAATGTCCGTAATTTCCCGCAATTTCTTATGCTTTTCGGGATCTTGCCATCGAGAAAATTCCCAGAAAAATCAACATGGTCAAGAACATCACAGTTGGTCCAGAATTCATCCGGTAATGATCCGAAAAACCGATTAAACGACAAATAAACCCCTTTTAGCTTCCTGATGCTACCAATAAACACGGGAATCGTCCCATGGATTCGGTTTCCGGCTAGATTTAAGATGCTTAAACCCTCACATTCTGCAAGTGATTTGGGGATTTTCCCAAATAATCTGTTAAACCCTAGATTAAGAACCTGCAACTTCTTCAAATAGGTGAAATCAATCATCGATAAGTTTCCATTAATTGAATTCCCTTCAAGATCAATCACTTCAAGATTCCTTAACCCCCAAATTGCATCAGGCAACTCACCAGATATCTGATTAAATGGAACTGATAAAACCCTAAGTTCTAACAAATCCCCAATCACATTTGACAAAATCCCACCTACAAATTTCCCTTTTCTACCAGAAGAACAATTCCTTTCAAGATCAAAATGGTAATCACCCAAACAAGAACCAGAATGAATAAACTTACCTCCTGGTATCCTCAGCTCAGAAACCCTGGCATGTGAGTTGCACGTGACTCCGAACCAAGAACAGTGATTAGGGTTTGCAGGTTTCCAGCTTGAAAGCAAGTTGTGAGGATCAAAAAGGGCGTTCTTGAGCTCCAAAAGTCGATTTTTCTCTGAAAAATCAACAAATTCACCAGAAACGAACCACAAGAACATCAAATTAAACACTAAAAACAGGATTGAATTCGATCTTTGCCTTTTTCTTCCACCCATTCCAAATAAACCCATGATTTTTCTTCTTGAAATTTCTTTAACCTAATCACTGTTCTTCAAGATTAAAAATCACAAATCGATTCACATGAGGTTTTCAAGATTTGGGTGTTAGAAGAACTAGAAAAAGACTTGTTCGTTTGGGAGAAAATGAAGATTTCTTGACGGTTTGATATTGCATTTACTTGGATATTGTGATATGATTTGGTGTTGGGGGATTGGGTGGATGTGGTCAAAGTCAACAGTAGTGAGAGGGTGGTCATGTAGTCAACATACGACAGCCGCCGGTGGTACAATTGGACGAAAGAAAACACGTAACGTGTTAACGGTGGACAAGTCGGTGACTTGAGTCGACTTTTTGGGCATTTGCAGGACCAGTTGACCATAACTCTGTTGCTGACTCCACTGCTGCCAAATTTATTCTTTCAGACAACTGTCATTTGATATTAACGAAATTTTTCTATATAATTTAATCAAATAATTGGTAACACCAACCAAAAAAATTAAAAACATTAAAGAATGGATTTAAATTAGGAAAAAAAATATTAAAAAAAATCTAATGAACTTTAATGTTTGGAGTAGGGGTGAGCATAGACGGGTATCCGCCCTTTTTGATAGGAACCGGAACCGGAACCGGCGGTTCTTGAGATATTAGAACCGGAACCGGTTAGAACGGTTCTTAAATTTTTGGAACCGGAACCGCCGGGAACCGGTTCCGGTTCCAGTTCCGGGTACCCGCTTCTTAAAATATTAAAATTTTATTGTTTAGAAATAAAAAATAAAACATTGGCAAAACACTAAATAAATAAGCAAGAATACAAATTATACAAAATAATTGTTACAAATATTGTTTAATAATTACAAACTATAATAGACTAATAGAAAATATTCAAAGTTTAACGATTACATATTATAATGGTAAATGTTGAAAGTTTAACGATTACATACTATGAATCCAAGTGAATACACAATTTGAAAAAATACGAATCATTTTATATGRAGAATTTAGATGAAGAATGAAAATGACGACGTGCTTTCAATATGTAAACCTAATATAAATTTGGTATTAAAAAATAATAATTATTTTTTTACTTGAAAAATGTCGGGTACCCGGCGGGTAACGGTTCTGAAAAATTGAGAACCGGAACCGGAACCATTCTCAATCGGTTCCGTATTTTAGGAACCAGAACCGGAACCACTCATATCGGTTCCGGTTCCGGAACCGGCAGTTCCAAGGCGGTTCCGGTTCCATAGCCGGGTACCCGGTTCTGCTGCTCACCCCTAGTTTGGAGTGATTGAGTTTTTTGGATAACTTTTTGAAAAAAATAAATTACTGAATATTTCAAAACTTGCTAAATATGTTTGAGACTTTCTAAAACATGTTAGATACATCCGTTATAACCTATAAAACTGTTTAATGTGGTAAAATAATTGAAAATATCTGAAAAAAACCCAATGAACTTTCATATTTTGAACGATTAAGTTCCTAATCATTTTTTGAATCAAAAAAATACTTACATCTATAAAATTATACAAATATACCAAAAATGTACTTATATTTACAAAAATGTGTTTATATTTAAATTATTGATGAAATTTATTTTAATGGTGGTCAAGTTTGCTATCAATTAGATATAAGTTATCCATACATATATACTAATGAACACTAGCAACGAATTTTAATTAATTATATATTTAGTTAAATTTCATCGTTAATCTGTCAATAATTTAATCAAATTATTTTCTATTTTTTTATTTAAAAAATCATCAACGAAATATATTTTATTTTTAATTATAATAAATTTAAT